AGAAACATCAATGTGAGAGAGAAACTTGGATCTATTGTGCCCTGACCAGGGACTGAATGAATGCACAACTGAGGCACATGCCCCGACGAGAAATTGAACTGGCAACCTTTTGCTTTGCAGGGCACAGCCCAACAAACTAAGCCAGTCAGGGCTAAATTACTGAATTTTAAGCAAGGTGGTGGTATTCTGTGAGTTATTCTTCAAAAGGAGCATTCTGACTGTCATGAATGGTGAGGAAGGAAGATGAAAGTTGAAGAGAGGGCAGCAGGGAAAAGAGGAGGCTATTATACAGCCTCAGACAGAGAAACCGGTGGCCTGGACTTTGAGTATAAAAGTATAGATATTGAGAACTGGTCAGTCAGGCTGTTAATCTCCTTTTTCCTGCATACTATTTTTTTTTCAGTCCTAGAAACATCCTTCACTGCACGGAAGAGGCAGCACAGGTAAACAGTCAAGGGTGGAACTGACACTCACTACTTTGTGTGCACCAAGACCTGCACTGGGTCTGTTTCTCACCACAGCCCTGAGCGAGGAAACTGATGCACAGGAAAGTTGAACAGCATCTGTGAACCAAGGTCACACCGCTAATAAGTGGTAGGCTTTTGATCTTAACCCAGATATCTCAGAATCCAGAATCTTAGCTCTGTGCCCAGCATTCTGCTGTTTTTCAGGTTAAGGCCCTTGTGCGTAGTCATGTCCACAATCAGCAGCTGCCACCTGCCCAAACATCTGGCTTCAAACGTACCAGGCTGATACTCTTTGCCCACCCCCAACCTTCTTAGAGCCCATACTGCATACCTCCAGCCCAAATTTCCTGCACTCTTATGCTTAGATCTCCACCATAATTACTTAAAGTTTTTATAATATTTGAACATATATACTTTTAGAATACATAAAAGCAGACATTTTTGTTTGTTCCCTGGGTATATATCTCATTGGAATAGAATTATCCTTCTGGATTAGAAAATAAATTTCATGCCACATAAACTCTTATAAGTCAATGTTGTTATAAGGCATTGTTGTCACATTTCTGTCACATTTCCGTAGACTGTTTTTCTGTTCCCAAAGAGCCTTTTAAAGGGCTTCCATGTCCGTATCTTAATTACACCTTATTTGAGATGAAAGCAAATGAATAAAGACATGTGAGAATTACTGTTAAGCACATCATAGTTGAGGTGTATGTTCAAGACAATAAAAAAGTCAAGATTTGTTTTCTGCTTAATGATTCATTTATTGATACCATTGTCTTAACAAAGAAATTATTTCAGAGTACAAGGTATATATGGTACTACTGCTTTGAACTTAATTATTTGCTTGGAGAGTATATACATACACAGATGGTGAATGATTATCATTTACATATATGTCATAACATGTGGTTTCTGGTTCTTAGTTATACACTGTCCACTTTACCTGTGAGATGCATGGTGACTGGGTCACAGACTCTCAAATTAGGGACCATTTAGATTTTTCAGGGAAGTTACATGAAAGAAGCTAGAGTTTCAGGATTAGCTAAGACGCTGTGTGGGTGGAATCACCACTGGCCAGCACTGAAAATTATCTGGGGTATAAGGAGTAACTAAACTTGGGAAAATAGGTGTATGTTTAAATTCTGGCCAAAGACATCCTATCCTACACAGTTCACTGAACCTCCTCTTTAAGACAGTTTCTGAGCCCTGTAGAGGTCTCCACTAACAGGATTTGCTGCTCCCTCTATCTAGCTCTTGGTATCTTAAAACCTCCTTTCTTCATTAGACCTGGTGGGGCAGTCAATAATCACTATACTTTACAAACTCTGAAAAAAGTTTAAAGACATTTAATGACAATGACATCCCTATTTACCTACAAATAAGTAGGGATGAGTTTTACCATGAGTTTTGGAAAGGATGTTAGTGGCTTTCTTGTCAGATCATAGAAAACCAAGCTTGTCAGGAATGGTACTGAAGGAATTTCTGTAGAGGGTGGGGAAAGGTCGGACACTGGTTGATTTCTAAAGCCCTTTGGAAGAGTCTCATTGTAAGATTCTACCATTCTACCTTCCTTGTATATTTTATGAAAACGGTTCAGAATATCCACCAATATTTAAACATTTCCTTCTTACCTGCTGAGAGGCCAAGTTACATCCTGTCATAATAAGACAAGGATATTGCATCATCCCCGGTGGCTGCAGGGACAGCGGCCAGAAGATAATGACTAAAAGAAGTTACCAGGGATTACTTAATATTGAGTAGCCAATAGATAGCCAGCTCCTGCTCTGAGAGATGGTCTGGTTGTCCTCCTACTTGTAACACCTGCAACTAGGAAATTATCTAAAACCTGGTTCTACAGTATATGAAGCACAGTAGCAGTTTTAGGGAAATAAAGTCTGGCTTCTATCCTTAAGGAACTGACAATCTGGTTGGAGAAATAGATTAACACAAAAAACGATTCAAAATAATTAAGTGCCCACTTGAGTGGTGTGGAGCACAAGTGAAATAGGAGTTTTAAGATAATCCAGGTGTCTGGGAGGTTTCATTTATGAGTCATGAGCGAACTGAATCTTGAAGCCTGGGTCAAGTGAAGATGAGTGGGAAGAAGACTGCAGGCCTGTGGGGTGTTGGGGAAAGAATGAGAGTTACAACTCCGGTCAGCAAGATTATGGCCTACGTAGCAGAGGAGGCAGGCGATGAATTGTGGTAGAACAGGGAGGAACTGTCTTGACTGAGGCAAAAGGGAATAACATAAATAACGTAGTCAGCCTAGGCAGGCAAAGATGGAGTCGCATGGTCTCAAGAGCAAGATAGAAGACTCTAAAAGTGAAGTGCCAGTGTTCTCCAGTGGTGGTCCCCAGAAAAAAGAAAGAGCATTTATCTCTCAGATGCATTGCATGGGAGGCCTATAGGCTGATTCAAATACAGATGCCGGTGGCCAAGGCAGCTTGGCGAGGTCCAGCTCAACTCCAAACTGCTTGGCTTATCAGCATGCTGACAAGCTGGGGCTTGCTGGCTTGCCTCAGAATACTCTCTGGAGACTGCAGGCTGTGATCTTGGAAGCATAGGGCTGCTCAACCAGCTGTTGACTGTTGGATGTGTTCATGTGGGAATTGTTCACATGTGGGTGTTACTAAGATTATGCTCTTAAGTGTGATGAAATCCAGCTGGTTGTAGGTGGAAGAATAAAGACAAACAATAACCTCTAATAATTCTTTTTTTTTTTTTTTTTTTTTTTTAATTTTTTTTATTGATTATGCCATTACATTTGCTCTATTCCCCTTCCTTCCCCTCCACCCTGTATACCCCTCCCCCACCATTTCCCCCTTTAGTTCATGAACATGTGTCTCAATTTCTTTAGATTCTGTATTTCCCCTACTATTCTTACCCTCCCCCTATGTATTTTCTATCTACTGTCTATGCTACTTATTTTCTGTACCTTCTCCCCCCCTTCCCCTCCTCCCACTCCCCTATTGCTAACCCTCCCTGAGATCTTCATTTCTATGGTTCTGCTCTTGATCTAGCTATCCTCTTAGTTTGCTTTTGTTTTAGGTGTGGTTCTTAATAACTGTGAGTTTGCTGTCCTTTCACTGTTCGTCTTTTTTATCTTCTTTTTCTTAGGTAAGTCCCTTTAACATTTCATATAATAAGGGCTTGGTGATGATGAACTCCTTGAATTTGGTCTTATCTGAGAAGCACTTTATCTGTCCTTCCGTTCTAAAGAAAGTTTTGCTGGGTAGAGCAATCTTGGTTGTAGATCTTTGGTTTTCATGACTTGGAATACCTCTTTCCAGCCCCTTCTTGCCTGTAAGGTCTCTTTTGAGAAATCAGCTGACAGTCTGATGGGAACTCCTTTGTAGGTGACTGTCCCCTTAGCTCTTGCTGCTTCTAAGATTCTCTCCTTCATTTTAATCTTGGCTAATGTAATTACGATGTGCCTTGGTGTGTTCCTTCTTGAGTCCAACTTCTTTGGGACTCTCTGAGCTTCCTGGATTTCTCGGAAGTCTATTTCCTTTGCCATCTTGGGGAAATTCTCCTTTATTATTTGTTCAAATAATTTTTCAACTGGTGGTTGTGCCTTTCCCCTTCTGGTACCCCTATAATTCGGATGTTGGAACGTTTAAAGATGTCCTGGAGGTTCCTAATCTTCTCCTCATTTTTCTGAATTCTTATTTCTTCATTCCTTTCTGTTTGACCATTTTTTTCTTCCTTCTGGTTCTCTCCCTTGATTTGAGTCCCAATTTTCTTTCCATTACTATTGGAATCTTTTGTATCCCCATTCATTTCTATTAATTTAGCTTCCATATGTTTCTCTAATTTGTGGCTAAAGTCAACCAGTTCTGTAAGGATCCTTATAACCAGTGTTTTGAACTGTGCATCTGAAAGACTGGCTATTTCTTCATCACTTAGGTCTATCGGTTCTGGGGCTCTGAGTTGTCCTAGAGCCATTTTTGGTCTGTTCGCGCTGTTAAGTGAGCGGAGCGAAGCCTTAGTTGTTTACCAGGACGGGGCGACCCAGGTCGCTGGTTTGTGACGCTGTGTGTGGGGGCGGGGTCAGAGAGGGAATAATGGCGTTCCTCTCCGCTAGCCCAGTGTTTCCAGTCACTCCGCACGCCTGGGGTTTATCCGATCGGAATTGCGCGAGCCTGCTGCCCTGCGCCGGCTTCCCTTCTCACTGGCTTCTCCGCACGTAAATGCGCGCGACTGAGCGACCCACCGCGCCCCTTTCTTTGTGCGCTCCGGCAGCCAGCTCGCTCGCAATTGCGCTCTCGGTTCCCTGCGCGCACCGCGCGCCGCCCGGGAATTTTTTCTTGCTAACCTGCTCCGCTGCTGGCCTGGCTCCTCGTACCGGTCCAGCCGAGTATCTAGTTGTCCTTTGGACTCCGTATTGTCGATTTTCCGTGTGGCTTGGTTGTGACTGCTGTTAAAAATAGTTGTTCTTAGATTTGGTTGTGCACAGAGGCGAGGTGGATCCTCCATCTACGTCTCCATCTTGGCGGAAGTCTCCTCTAATAATTCTTAACATTTGGATTTTAAAAGCCACTTCCTAGCTTTAATTACAATTTTATAGTGATGCTTTAAAAATTTCAGTCAGATAAGCAAGTTTATGGATTAAGGGGCCATCCCCTATTGGAATTATTTCAGTATAATGAAAAAGAACCTTTTTAACACAAAATGCTTGTTGGTAAAGTGGTTGCTCATGTAGTCTTCTTTTGAGGACACTGAGATCTTTTAACTTTTTTGGAATTTCCTGCTTTTTTTGATGTTTTTCACTTTCTTTGGCTTTTTCTTTCGGATGGCCTGCAAAGAGAGGGGGAGAAAGGTTGATGTTTCTTCATCTTACCATTTTTCCTTTCTTATACAATATTTGAACTCTCCAGATTGTGGTCCTTCCTTATCCTCAAAACTGGTTTAAAGTTGCTCTACTTTCAAAGGGGCTCCTTTTGATTCTCTCTTCTTTGCCCACTTTGAGGAGGAGGTAAAGTCCTCCAATTGGTCTTCTTTTGCCCACTCTCCTAGTTTATTACTACCCTCACTCCAACCTTGCTTATGGCCCAACTGTCCCAAGTACAACCTTCTGAGGTTGGTACTATTATCATCCACTTTTCTCTCATGGGGAGGCGGAGGCTTGGAGAGGGTGACTTGACCAAAGTTGCATAGCTAGTATTTGGCAGAACCACTTGCCCGTCGGACTCCAGAAGCCACACTCCGCACTAGATATTCTGAGGTCCTCTTCAAACAAAACACCTCAGAGTGTCATACAGTATTCTTCCCACTTGGTCCTGGTCTACCTTGTAACCTCAATCCCTTAATTCCTTCCCTACAAACTCCATATAAACCTGAGGTTTCCTGAACATGGAAAGCTCTCTCATAATTTTATTCTTTCTTTCATGATATCCTTACCCTCCTTCAAGACCCAAATCAAATACCTGATATAAAAACTAACCCTTAATAGTTTATCCTTGTCCCTTTCTCCAGCAAAATTAATTACTCCTTCTATAATCTTCAAGATTCTTGTACATATTTTTATTTTATATTTCACATTGTACTTTAATTTTTATTTAATATATTTTTTTAAGAGAGAGAGATTTATTGTTCCACCTAGTTATGCATTCATTGGCTGATTCTTGTATGTGCCCTGACTGGGCATCAAACCCACAACCTTGGCATATCAGGTTGATGCTTCAACCAATGGAGATACCTGGCCAAGGCCACATTGTACTTTAATTTATCATCAGAATATTTTCTACAGTAGGAAAGTAGTATATCTTATTACCTTTCTATCCTCAGTAGACTACTGTTCAGTTCAATGCATATTTATTGTGTTGAATAAGAAAGATAAGCTCCCTACCCTCATGGTACCTACATTCTAGTGGTGTGATAGACAAGAGATACTCTCTGCAGGAATATAACTATACCTCAAGTGAAGACATCATTCTAGGAACAAGATAGGAGCACAATAACATAAATTTTAAAAATGTACCTTTAAAAGAACTACATATATTCTTTGTTTTCCAGTTAATTTTTAAGAGAAAGAACATTTTGTTCCTACTTTTCACCAACCTGTTTCTCCCACTCTTTAATCAATTTTTTCACATTTCTTGAATTTGGATTTAAACATGTTTGATTCCCATTCTTCATTGTAGCACTGCCAAAGAAATAGCAAGACATTTTTAAAAAACTTTTAATAATTTAAGTGTTTCCTCAGTTAGATTGTGCTTACAGCTTTACTATAAGCATCTGAGACTTCCAGTCTTTTTTCTTTTCTTTTTATTGTTGACAATAGTTACAAATGTCCCCCATTTCCCTCCACCTTTATCCACCTCCACCCAGCCCCCCCCCCCCCCCCGGACTTCACCACACTATTGTCTGCCCAAGAGCTAGGCATATATATTCTTTGACTAACCCCTTCAACTGCCTTTTCATTTTCTAAATGTGTGAGGGGACATAGATGAATTTCTAGGATAACACATAACCATAAATTTAAAAAATTGAACAGGTGTATGCAATGGGAGAAATTCATATCTAAAGATGATACTGGTTCTTTTGTTTTGGAAATAGCTATTTATGCTTAACTGAAGAAGCAAAATAAAATACCTACTTTTTTTCAAAAACAATAAAATCAGCATGAATTTTGCCACATTTTCTAATGAAACTACTTAAAACATAATAAAATATTATTCTAAAACAAGACTAGTTGAATTGTTTAAATCACCCAGCAGAGTCTCCGGGGATAATTCAAAGATTGTTTTCTTTAATTTTTCAGTACACTCTGAGAGTAGCCATTCTCCATATCATCCTTGATTTAGGCTTCAGAAGACTTAGAGTATGCATATACTTTAACCTAGAAATTCTACTCTCTAGAAAGGTATTATTAATAGAAATGAATTTAAGACACAATACTGCCATAATGAGTTTAATTTCAATAGCTAAAAACTGGAAGTAACCTACATTTGGGCATTGATCATACAAATTATGGTACATCAATATGCTGGAATATAATTTGGCCATTAAAGTGACACTATTATAAAAAGATGATATCATTACAAAAGATTTACTGACATGAAGAAATGTTCATGACACAATGTTAATGAAAAAACTGATTACAAAACAGTATGTAGTGTATGATTTTATTTGTGTATATACATTGTATTTATAAATATATGTATATATACTTTGTGTTTATATATGTACACACAAAGCAAATGTGAGAGATAAGGAAAACTACATATCAAGGAGTTAACAGTACTTGTCACTGGATGAAAGAATTATAAATATTGATTTTCTTCTTTTGGGTTATCTGCATTAAACCTTTTCTACAATGAACATGTATTATTTTTGTAATATGTAAACATTTGTTCCTAATCCCTAAAAAATTACTTACTTTTTTTTAAAGAAAATAAAGATTGGGGGGTGGGATGGGAGTAAAAGACAGAAAACTGTACTTAAACAACAATTAAATAAATATATTTTAAAAAAGAAAGAAAAGAAGTAGGTTAGATTTACAGAGAAGCAACTATCTGAGTTGTAAGTGTCTGTATGGGCAAGCATTCTGAGGTAATAATCACAATCAATTTATGTTTCTGCCAGTATGACACACACACATTGGATGAGATTGTACTTACATGATTTCAGTGTTATCACAAGAAGGGCCTGGGGGAAACTGCTGAAGGTCCTTTAAGGCTTTGAAGTGGATCATCCCTCTTTCTGTGGTGATGCAGGAACAGCGTCTGTTCCTCATCACTGGAGACCCTAAGGGAAAGAGAATGGGTAGCACACACTGGTTTAGGGCAATGTCTCAACTTCAGGGATCCATAGAAATTATGTATTTGACTTAGTTATGGTTGTTACTACCATTTACTGAGTGTCTAATAAACATTGCCACAAACTTTTAAAGTAAATATTACCTCCATTTTATAGACAAAAAGCTAAAGTTCACATAAGTTAAGTAAAGTACAAAGTCATTCAGCTTTTAGGGGGCAGATACAGATTTTGAGTCCTAAGTCATTACTCTTAACCACATTATACAACCTTAGGAAAAAAAGATGTTCGAATATTTAAGAAATGCCTATTGCAGACCAGACACATAGATACCTAATTCATGTGTGCTATATGTACCACATTCCTAAGCATTTCCCAAAGCCATGTACTATGTGACCTTAGTAGAATACACTTGGTGTTGGTTTGGACAGAAAGCTCTATGTATAACAACCAGTTATCACCACCATCATCATGCTCCCCACTGCCTTGCTTTTCAATAGTGCTTTAAAGTTTTGGAAATTCTTTAAAATACACTATCTTCATTCATTTTTTAAAAATGGATTTTAGAGAGAGAGAGAAAGACAGGAAATGGGGGGAGAAAGAGAGAAAGAGAATGAAAGGAAGAGAGAGAAAGAGAGAAAGAAAGAAAGAAAGAAAAAAGAAATTTGTTATTCCATCTATTTATGTATTCATTGGTTGATTCTTGTATGTTTCCTGATCAGAGATAAATCCTGCAATCTTGGCCTATTGAGATGATGCTCTAACCAACTGAGCTACCCAGCCAGGACTATCTTCATTTCTTAATTTAAAAAAAAATTTAAATATATGTTTATTAATTTGAGAGAGAGAGAAAGAAACATTGATTGGTTGTCTCTTACACACCCCAAACAGCACCCTGGCTGGTGCTGCGACCAGGGATAGAACCCACAACCTTTTGGTGTACAGGACAACACTCCAATCAACTGAGCCATACCAGCAAGGGTTTAATTTCTTCTTTATATAAATGCTTGATGGTATATTTATAAATTATATAAGATATATAAGAATTATATAACAATTAGTAAGAATTATATAATATATAATTATATAAGTATATTTATAAATATATATATTTACTCAGTGCTTACTATATACCATACATCATGAGATAGGCAGATAAAGCATAACTATAAATCTCTACTTTACAGCTGATAAAATTTAAATCTAGAAAAGTTCACTAATTTGCTCAAAGTAACAAAGATAAATAGTAAACAGATTAGGAATTTTTTTCTGATTATTGGATCTTTAATTGGTTAAGCACAAACACTTACAACATGCCAGGAATTTACAGACTGAGGCTGAGAAGACTTTTTTAATTTGGAAAGTGTAAGATATGAACTTTGTGTAATATATAACATCACTGAGAAGCTTTTATGAATGACTCATATCACTTTCTGATGCACAAAAAACAATCACCTCTACTGTGCAAATCAAGAGGCTTTTAAGGCAGTTTAAATCTGACTTTACTAACCTAATGTGACTCAGAACTCCTTACCTTGAACTCCAATCAGAATCAGGAAAGTGATGCCTAAAAACAGAAGAACACCACTTTTCTTCATAGTGGTAGAAGGAAGTTCTACTGAGTCAGTCCTCTATTGGATTTCAAGCCTGAGAAATTCTTTAGACAACATGCTCTTGGGAATCATATTTATTTAGGAAATACTATTCCCCCCTAAACTCTGATTGGCTGGTATTCATAGCCAATTTATGCTGATCAAATGATTCTGCTGGGGGGAAACCCTACTCTCAGATCCAAGGGAATTTCTGCATGCTTTACTTCCGTTTCACATAAATGGATGGTTTATAGTAAGGGATGTGAAACCAGTATCACTGGGAGCCTTCAGTATACTCACAGCTGCTCACCTGGGTGAAGAATAGGTTATATAACGACTATAATAATAATATCAAAAAACAAGAGTTGGAGATGTGTTTTCCAGATGGGAAATATCAAAGTCTAGATAAGTAATGCACTTTTCAAATTTCCATGCCATTTATATAATATATGGCTTTATTTATGTTTTCTTAATCTACTATGGTATACTAAAAAGAATCTTAATTTCTTCCAGGGCCAGATCATTTTTTACTATGGTAAGCTCATTTTGTTATTTATGCTAGTTTATTATTATTACTATTATTAGAGTAGTAGTATATTTTGTTGATCATGCTATTACAGTTGTCTCATTTTTTTGTCCCCTTTCTCACTCTCTGTACTGAAACCCTGATGGGTTAAAGAAATATTAAGATCCCCCCTGTTTATGCCTGAGCCGTGACCTTTTATTGTAAGAATGAAGTATAGATGTGCTGTCTTCCAGGGAGAACTAGCCCTTCTCCATGGAAAACTAAGCACCATTAATATTTAACTCAGTACCTATAAACACTGATCATTCCCTTGGGGAAGAACCGGCTATTCTCTTGGAGGGAATGGTCAATCAAGTCACGAAAGGCCCTTGGCATATAGCCACCACTGTCTAAAACATATTTAACCAGAGCCCCCAAAGTGACTTTGAAATCCCACCCAAGAGAAGAATGCTTTGCTCAGAACTTTTCCTAGACAAATCCTGAATGCCACTGTCTCCAGCATTTCTTAATTTAAAGTGTCTGTACTTGGGTGTTGGTGATTTCCTGTCTGGTGATCTATGCTCTTGACTCTTGCTTTTTGTTTGCTCTTGCTCAATAAATTGCTTAACTATTCACCTTTGACTTGGGGTTTTTATTGTCCATGAATCCAAACCTCTGATTGGGAATCAAACCAGCGATCCTTTGATTTGCAGGCCAACATTCAATCCACTGAACCACACCATCCAGGGCTGTTTCTTCTTTTTAAATTGTTTGTTTTCCTTCTTTTGGTTGTGCGAGAAAGCAAAGCGTATCTACCTGTGGCTACATCTTGACTGGAAGTCTAGTTTATTATTATTTTTAATGATTAAGTTAGAACAAGGAATTAGCTAAAAAATAGACAAGTGGGACTACATCAAACTTAAAAACTTCTTTGCATCAAAGAAAACAATCGACAGAGTGAAAAAACAACCTATGGAATGGGAGAAAATAACTGCAAAACATATCTGATAAGGAGTTAATATCCAGAATATAAAATGAAATTCTACAACACAGCAACAACAACAAAAAAATTTTAAAGCGGGCAAAGACTTGAATAGACATTTCTGTATAGAAGATATACAAATGGCCAATAGGCACATGAAAAAATGCTCAACATTACAAACATGAAAGAGTAGGAAATTTAAATCAAATCCACAATGATACATCACTTCATACTCATTAGTATGCCACTCTCTAAAAAATAGAAAATAAGAATTGTTGGTGAAGAAGTGGAGAAATTGGAACCCTTGTGCACTATTAGTGGGAACATAAAATAGCGCAACCATTATGGAAAAAAATATGGAGGCTCCTCAAAACATTAAAAATAAAATGACCATATGATCCAGCAATTCCACTTCTGGGAACAGGTCCAAAATAATTCAAAGAAGGATCTCAGATATTTGTACACCTGTGTTCATGGTAGCACATTATTCACAAGAGCCTTATTTGAAAAGGTGAAGTGACCCAAATGTCCATTGACAGATGAATGGATGAAGAAGATGTGGTATATACATGCAATGGAATTTTATGCAACCATTAAAAAGAAGAAAATTTTGTTCCATGCTACAACACGGGTGAACCTCAAGGAGGTTATGCTAAGTGAAATAAGCCAGTCACAAAAGGACAAACATTCATCCAAAATATATAAAATCAAATTTTGGAAACAGAAAGTAGAAAGGTGGGTGTCTACAGTAGGGGGAAAGGGTGAGGCAAAATTAGTCTTTAGTTTGTATAGAGTTATAGTGCTGCAAAATGAAAAAGATTTAGAGGTCTGTTATACAACAATGTGAATATACTTAAGACAACTCAACTATATACTTAGAAATGGTTAACTTCTGGTCAAGATGGTGGTGTGGGCAGACATGGCTCACCTCTTTGCACAACCACAAATAAATTGCAGCTGAAATGTAGAATGGCTGTAACTCAGAACCAACAGAAATTGAATTGAATGGAAGTCTGACAAATATAAAATTAAAGAAATCACATCCATCCACACTGGTAGGAGGGGTGCAGACATGGAACCAACTGGTTCCACATCCATATGTGGTGGATGAAAATTCGAGGGACATCTCCAAAGCAAGAAGTCCCAGCCCCACACCAGGCCACCCAGCCCAGGGTTCCAGCGCTAGGAAGATAAGTCCTCACAATTGCTGGCTGCAAAAACCAATGGAGATTGAGTCAGTGGAGGAAACTTCTGGAGCCCCTAGCAGTTCCTTTTAAAGAACCCACACACAGACTCACCTACTCAGTCTTACTACCTCTGGGCTCCAGTGATGGTGTAGCAGCTTGAGGGGCATACAGTGGTATACAGAGGGAGGTTGAAGCATCAGGCATCAAGGAAAGCAGAGGCCACTGTCCCTTTTCTTGGCCCTTACCCCACAGAGCCAGCAAACTGGTGTTATATCTGAAATTCCAACCACTTGGCTAGCACTGTTTGACCCACCTTGGAGATCCCCAGAGACTCAGTCCCACCCAACTTATAGGCCCACCCAAGATGCTTTTCCATATGAATGGTCTTGGCTCATGCTTCACAACTTCCTAAATCTCAAACAAGCAGCAGCTGGCCCCAGTGAGCCACAAGCCTGGAACTAGCAGTCTAGATTCATAGGTTGGCTTCCCCTGGAAATGTCCAATCCTAGCCCAAGTAGCAGCCATCTCAACCTATTGCTTTATAACTCAGGCAGCTTAACCCAGGGCAAAATATATGTGTGGGCTGATCTTGGCCTACACCTGTGAAACCCCAGGTCCAGTGTATCCAGTGGACAGCTAGAGACCATGTAGGAGCACCACCACCCTGCCCCTATAGAGCTTATCCTCCACAGAGAGTGGAGGTTGGTGGTAAGTGTTCACACTCAATTCTTGCAGCTGACTGGCCTTGGTAAACTCCTCCCACTGACCTGCTAATGGCAATCAAGGCTCAACTACAAAACGAGAGTGTACTCATCTTACACAAAGGGCATGCCTTGAGTACTCACCTTAACTGACAAGGGAGGCTATGCCACTGGACTCTAAAGAACACCCACTATATTAGCCCACACTATCAAGACACAGAGTCAAAGCAGCCCTAGCTAATACATGGAAACAAACACAGGGAGGCTGCCAAAACAAGGAGACGAAGAAACATGGCCCTAATAAAAGAACAGACAAAAAAAAAAAAAACAGAAAAAGAGCTAAATGAAATGGAGATAAGCAATCTATTAGATGCAGAGTTCAAAACACTGGTTTTAAGGATGCTCAAGGAACTTAGTGAGTACCTCACCAGCACAAAAAAGATCCAGTCAGGAATGAAGGATACACTAATTGAAATAAAGAACCATTTATATGTAAACAACAGTAGAGTGAATGAAGCTGAGAATCAAATCAATGATTTGCAAGATAAGGAAGGGAAAACATCCAATCAGAACAATAAGAAGGAAAGAGAATCCATAAAAAAATGAAGATATTGTAAGTAGCCAGTGGGACAACTTTAAGCAATTCAACATTCGCTTCTTAAGGGTGCCAGAAGAAGAAAAGAAAGAGCAAGAAATAGAAAATGTATTTAAAAAACAATGAAAGAAATCTTCTCTAATTCGGTGAAGGAACTAGACATGCAAGTACTGAAGCACAGAGTCCCAAACAAGATGGACTACAAAGAGGCCCACCCTAATACACATCATAATTAAAATGCCAAAGGTTAAAGATAAAAAGGTGGGAGGATGGGTGTGGGAGAATGGGTGACAAGTAAGGGGGTTAAGAAGTATAAATAGGCAGCTACAGAATAGCCATGGGAATGTAAAGTACAGTATAGGAAAGGCAGTAGCCAAAGAACCTACAGTTGTGATGTGTGGACATGAACAAGGGTGTGGAGATGGCTCGAGGGAGTGGGGCATGCTGAGTGGAGGGAAGCTGAGAGAGAAAAGTCAGAAGAACTGTAACAGCATCATCAATAAAATATAATTTAAAAAAAGAAATGGGTAAGGTGGTAGATTTGATGTTATGTATATTTTTTTACCACAATAATAATAATAAAGAGTAAGGGGTTAGTTATATATAATGGAGTCCCAAATTAATAGTGGCTAATTAAGATAGAGGTGCATTTCTCCCTGATGGAGGCAGGTGGATTAGAGCGCATAGGGTGGTTCTGCTCCATGAGGTTCCTCGGCTCTTTCTGTCTCATTGCTTCACTGACATCTCTAGGCTGTGGTCCTCCTGCACATGGCTGAAAAGGACTTTGCTACCACGTCTGCTTTCCAAGTACAGGATGATGGGAAGACAGAAAACAGCTGTCCTTCATTTTTATTTATTTATTTTTATAATTAAAAAACCCTCACTGAGGTTATATTTATTGGTTTTGAGAGAGAGAAGGAGAGGGGAAGAGGGAGAGAGGGGGAGAGAGAAGGTGAATGGGAGAGAGATTGAGAGAGAGAGAGAGAGAGAGAGATCTGTTGCCTCCCATATGTGCCTTGACTAGGGACCCAACCCACAACCTAGGAATATGCCCTGACTGGGAATCGAACCCACAACATTTTGGTCTGTGGGAT